CATGTGCAGATGCAAATTGTTGTAGCTCCAATAGCTAACTGGAGGCTGTGAAGAAAATAGAAAACAACAGAGCTGGAAGATATTCCAGAGCTCCCAACCTCAGGAGGGAAAAGTCCTTTGGATCCAAGATGATCTTGAAACAAAGGTTGTGTTCCCACCAAATGGTCGACCCTCTATTTGGGCATTACTGCTTTGCGGGGCCTTCATTTTTAGGATGGATTACATAAATCCCTCCATGTAAATAGCGAGTATGTCAGGGAGAAGGCAAAGCTGGAACTTTTACCGACGTGTTAGTTATCTGTGTGCGGGGATTTTTGTTAATAATATTGTAGAGGAACGTGTTGTCGTGCTTGCAGTCTGAAGCGATGCAGCCCTGTCCCAGGTATTCCCAGGTCTGTGAGAACAAGACTTGAAACAGAAGCTAGATGGCATGTGTGCTTGCTTGCACGCGCGTGTGTATGCGGGTGTGATAGCCTGTACGCTTCACAGCTCTCTTGCTGCATGCAAAAGGCAGTTGCAAGTCTTAACGCAAAAGGCTTGGCAGTGGGGTGGGGGGGTTAGTACAGGTGACCCTCTGGCAGAATCACGTCTCAGGGATTACGGACCGGGCAGCTGCTCCGGTGGTCGCCCGGGGGGGTGGGTGCAAGTGCGGGGCCAGCACTGGCTGCCTGGCGCGCCCAGGGACTGAAGGTGTGGACGGAATACCAGTTCTGGCCGCCAGGGACGGATCGTGGGATGCGTCTGAGCTGAATGGGAAAGAGGGCTCGTGGTGGTTCCAAGATCCGTTTTCTTCCTGGGACCCACACAGCCTGTTCCCCCTGCAGCCAGGTCATCGACCCAGGCCCGGTGGTCTTCGGAGGCCCCCTTTAGGTAGCCGTGTTGGCTCTCTGCTCACGCTCCTTTCCACCCACGCCCGCCACTCCGTGCTGCTCCGACGCTCCTGATCCTTTAGGAAAACAGCAAAGCTCTTCTCCAGAACGGATTAAAAATAGGGTGCTGCGCATGGCGCATTTCGCAGTTCACGTAAATCGAAGCACCAGCATAACGCGGAATATCAGATGGCTTCTGAGTCACTTGCCACGGTCTCGGTGGCTATTTGCCCTGCTCCTCAAGCGGGACTTAGCCCTGGACCCAAGGCCCAAGCCTAGCTGCCTGTAGCCACAAACCCCCTGCAGCCCGCTCTACCATTGCAAGTTTGTTTGTTGCTTAGATTTATATCCCACCTTTTTTCTTTGTTCAAGAACTCAAGGCGGCTTGCATCACTCCTCTCGCCCTGCTCTCATCCCCACAACAACACCCCTGTGAGGTGGGCTGGCCTGAGAGCCTGTGACTGGCCCAAGTCACCCAGTGGGCTCCAGGGCCGAGCGGGGACTCGAGCCCGGATCGCCTGAGCCCTGCGCGCTTGGCCACTGCACCACACTGGCTCTCTAGGCATGTTTTGAGTCATGTGTGCCGCTGGTTTTAGCTGCCGCTCGCTTCCTCCTCCTCCGCTGGGCTCCAGCTTGCTTGCCTTGACACCGCTGTGGGAGAGACAGACAAGCAACTCCCCCCCGGGACAAATCCACTGGCTGCCCAAGGTCTTGATGGGACCCTGAACCTCATGGGTGGGGGCCACGCCAGAAGGTGAATCCAGCACGGGTGGGACGCGCGTGTGAGCAGCTTGCTCGAAGGCGAAGATTTTGGCAGAGGCCGCAAGTGGGGCTTTCTCGGGGCATCCCATAGTTTTGCAATCCTAGGATGGAAGAGAAGGGGAGGGCGGCAGCGGGCTCTGGGAAGGCTGTTCCTGGGCCAGTTTCTTAGATGTATCGATCACTCTCCTTTTTGGAAACAGTTGGATCGTGTGAATCCAGCCCCACGCTGGGTTCACCGCATTTTGCAGTAAAGCATTCTCCAAGAAGGGAAGGTGGACGGGTGGAACGGCACCGATTTGGTGTGGGCACCTCTTGCTTCGGCTCGGCAGAGGCGATCCTTTGCCAATGGAGGAGAGGAGGAGGCCGGAGACCCCTGCCCTGCATTTCTGTTCACAGACTCCAAGAATAGCTTTGGTGCCATAAGTCATCCTGTCAATGTATCTAATTCACAACAGAGTTTTTAAAAGAAGCGTTATATATGGGAAAAAAGAAGGGAGGGGGTTTTTAAATATTGGGACCACCTGTGATTTATTCAGTCATTCCATGTCTGTCTCTGATGAAACAGTGTCAACTTGGAGACTAATGAATAAAAGAAAATATATACCAAAGGCTGGCACTTTTTCGGTGGTTTTGTTTTGGGTTGGGCATGGATCTGAGGGGAGGAAACCTCAAAAGGAAATGGCGTGAGAGAAGCGGAGACAGGTGAGAAGATGCGGACGGAATAAATGATACCGATGGATGAGAAGGTAACGCACCAAATTAGCATTTTGGTGCCAGTGAATGATCTGTCTGCGCTTTTGCCAGTGTTCGTTTTTTGACAAGTGTGATGCAGTGGCAGGGAGATCGCACATTCACCCCTTGCCCTTCTGTTGAAGGCAAACTGATGTACATGGTTGCAGGACACCCCCTTTTTATCCTCAACAACCCTGTAGTGTAGGATAGGCTGAAACAAGTGAGTGGCCCAGAGTTACCCCGTGAGTGATGCCTCGAAGTTTGGTTTCCTTGACTGAATATTTAAGAGCCCGACAGAATAAAGTTCAGTATCAGTAGCATGGTATTATCAGGCAGAGCTCGATCTGGACTCGGTTAGCATCAGCGACTAACGGGGGTGACTGTAGGGCGTATGGGAGGCAGGAGCGAAATGGCCCCAGCGTCAGTCAGGACCAGGCGGCCTTCATGAATGCAAAGCTGTATTTAAAATCTGCGCTAAGTGGTGGTTGAGGACAAATTCATTGTCTGAGGGTGAGAGACAGGCACCACCACCAAGCCGCTTTATGTATTAGAAAAGGACTATTGTATGTGCGGACCAGCATCTCCGGCGGGACCACCTGGCCCAGCATCCTGCACAGAGCATGTCAGTGTTGAGCTCTTTGCAAAGATTTCTCGCAGAAAACGTGGCAGAAAACATCCGGTGACTTTTGCGCACGGCCATCTCGCCCTCCGCTTCGTTTTAGGCCACCGGGAGTCAAAGCTGCTGCCTCCGTGCTTCTCCTGGCAGGTTCTGGCCTCCCCGAGAAAGGCTTTATATTTCCAGCCTTCTTGTCTCTCTCGAAGTGACTGACCCTTGTTTGTTCGCCAGGAAAAATTTACCTCCTTCAGGTGCTGCTGGGCGCGGAAGACACGCATCTGCGCATGCAGACGTCTTCTCGGGCGCCGGCGAGGCAACGGCTAAAACGCTTTGTAGCCCGAGCGGGTCGCGCCCCGAGCCCGCTTTGCAGCCCCCTCCGCGGTGGGGCCCTACTCTTCTCTTCCTTTAGCTAGAGTATTGTATTGTGTTGTGTTTGTTGTGTTTATTCGCGCTTGGACTGCGCGCCACAACAGCCACGAGGCTCCCGCATTCCGACGCAGAAGGAACCCGCGATACGGCTCCGCGCGTCAGTCTGCGTATTGCATCTACGCCCGTCGCAGCGCGAGGCGGAGAGCGGAAGTGAGGGCCCGTCTAGCTCGCCACACCCGCCGCCTCGCTGGCCGGAGCGGAAGCGGAAGCGGAAGCGCAAGCGGAAGGAAGCGGAAGCGCAGCCCCGCCGTGCCGCGGAGGTGGGTCCCGGGGGGGGGGA